GTGTTGTACGGCTATGATTACGCCTTCGGATTGTAGCCGTTGTAGTTCTACTTCAACTTTGGACGCGTAGCGTACAGTAATCTTCGTGCTTTGCAACACTTGGCATTGGTGTTCTCCCCTAGATTGATGGAAGCTTTGAAATTTTTCTGCTTTCCCAACTTATTTTCGAATAACACAGAAAATTGGTTAAACAGATTGTTTAGATTGCTATTATTGATCGCGACCTCATTAATCTGTATCGTTTCTGGGAAGTATCGGATCAAATTTCTGTCCCAGAGATTTGGCCTTTTCCCAGGTACCACGATCAATGGTATAGTTAATTTCCGCTCGCCGTGCATGACTTTAACCATGCACTTTCCCAAGACCCTAATCTGATCTTGTTATAACTCCGGCTTAGTAGTAAGAAGACAGAATTGAGACTGCTTGAAAACGTTTACTTGTACAACTGATGTTACACTCAACTGTCAGGGAAAGATGTCAACTACACTCTTGGTCGAAACCAATCGATACTCACGTGCCATATGGTTGGCGGAAAGTTCTGGGCCAACATACAAACACACGCACTGGAATTTATCGATTTTCACGTGTAGTCTGTGTGGCTGACATACGTGATCTCTCTAACAGATCTCCTCTGTAGGTTTGCAATTCGGTCACATGATTGTAAGGGCGGTAGACTTACTTGAATCACTGTTTATTAATGTTAACTGCAGCCCCTGTATTCAGTTCCAAATCGATCGGCACATTCTCGATCATCAAACGAATCGTATATAGAGGATACTTGTTGGGTGATGCGGTATTCGAGTAGACGTAATTTAGATCGTTGTTTGGGTCCTCCAGAACCTTTTTCTCCGTAAGCGACAGGTTATTATGGCGCATCGATTGAGTGAGATTAGTCGGCGGGGCGGGTTCCGGTCTGCACACGCAGACTAGTTGGCCTATTTTATCACATTTTCGACAGTTGCTTTCTTTGCGGCGATACTCAGAAACACGAGCATGTTGAATCCCGCCACGATAGCATTTGAACTGTGTTCAAGGTTTACCTGGGGTCCGTGGTTTAGCAACTGCGTGAAAAGCATTGACGACTGGATGGACAGTGAATTCAAGGAGCTGGTGCGAGATATTCTCCATTTGGCGAACGATTAGAGAAACATTCTCCCACGTGGTATATGACTCGTTCAAAGACTACAAGTTTTCCCCCGCACTTTCGTCCAGAGTGCGCACAATTAAGCACTGTATATTCATTTCTTCAAATTTGTCGGGCGGAATTTCATCGTATTTACCTTTGGGAATAAATAGATGGATATGTGCAATGAAGTCGTTGACGCTCTCGTTCGGTTTCCGTACAACTTTGAAAAGCAGTATGTTCCAGCACAAAAATTCTGTTTCAATCCCCACAGTATATTTATCCAAGTATATTTATCCAAGGCCGATGTAATAGTGTAACAATTTTCTACTTGTAGTGCATCATAAAGTCGCTGGCCTTCATCTCTCAACACTTGGCTGAATACTAGCATATTGTTGGACTCAGAAATTGAAACCATAAGATCCATAAGAGATAGTAGTTTCAGGTAGTTGATAAAGGATTTCTTCCATCTAACCCATTTTGATAAAGTCGGTTTGTCCTTAGCAGAAGAGTAAAAGTTAGCAGGTGGATTAATGATAGAGTTCATGTGGATCTCGTCGCCCATAATACGAAGTAACGAATTCAAGCAAAGCACGCCCCCAGACCGCAGTTAGGCAAGAAGAAGACACAGTACGAAACAAGTGTATCTGTCGCACCAGTGCGACATGGCTCACATGACACACGAGTTAAAGTATACGTGAGGAACTATGGATTGGTCAATGCGAGGAAAAACAATAAGAACGCGGTGTGGCTGAACTAACTAATCAATGTCATCGACCGATGTAACAACCCATGCGTACAGCCCCAAAATATGCTGCGTCAAATGGATTAGCCGAAAGAGCGGTGCAGACGGTAGAGAGAGACCTACTAAAGCAGTTATCGGGAACCTTACGAAGGCGAATAGATCGATTCCCTTTTGCCTACAAAATAACTCCGATGGAAGCCACGGGTAAATATTCCGCAGAACTGATGTTCGTACTAGGTTACACCTATTAGTTTCTAACCGTTGAGCGCAAATAGGAGCGAAACAAAACAAGACAAGTACGTTAGATAAGGAGCACAATGTTGTTTTCCTACCGGGAGATCCTATGTATGCACCAATTCCCTACGAGCAGTCATAGCAGCCCGAAACCGTGGTCACAACTAATGGTACCCAGGCTGACCTAGAGGTAAATGGTCGCGTCTTGAGGCGGCATTTAGATCATCTACTTCCCCGTTGTGTAGAAACGCGAGAAAATGAGGAAAATATATCTGACTCAGTCCAGCCGACAGTGGAACAAATCACACAGGATATGGTGCAAATAACATACCGCTTGCCACTTCGCAGGTCTCAACGTGTACCTGTTGGATGTTTCGTTCCCGGTGTATGACTTTCTCAAAGAGAGGATGGGGTGTTATATCCGTCGATTATATTGATTAGTTAGTTCAGTCACACCGCGTTCTTGTTGATTTTCCTCACATTGACCGATCAATAGTTCCTCATTCATGATTTAACTCGTGTGCCATGTGGGTCATGCCGCACTACTTCGTCCGATACACTTTGTTTCGTACTGTCTTCTTCCTGCCTAACTGCGGTCTGGGGGCGTACTTTGTTTGAATTCGTTACTACGTTATATATATATATATATATATATATATATATATATATATATATATATATATATATATATAATCTTCCCATCAAATGTATTCCTTTTAACATAGTCATGCGTATGCGCGCATGCCATGTATTATCGAGGAGAAGCCATTCGTTAATTATTTACTTAAATTGGCAGTTAGTCTTGAAGCGATATAGGTAAACTGTTGCGTGTGGCATTATGTTCATTCTGGGCCTGGATCGTTGTGGCACTGGATAGATTCCGGATGACATTATGGGAATGTTTTTGCTAGGAAACAGCACATAGTTGCAGAAAGCTATTACCATCGTCTGTTCAGATTTCCCTGAGTCAGAAACAGCGTTTCAGCCGTTGTTCGAAGTTTCATAGGCGACCCACGTGGACATTTGTCTCACCAGTAATAATCACGATAACGGTATTCTTCACTATGCAGTTACCAGTTGTGAACTGAAGAGGAATTTGTCTTTCACAACTATGCAGCTAACGTCGGTTGGAGCAGAAACCGAGGCGATAAAATGGCAGCTCGTATTCAGTCTATTCTTGTTAACTAATAGTGATCCAAGGTCGCACGGTCAGCCTACATCTTATCACTGGTATCTAGTGAAGTAGATTGCCTTCAGCATGTTTGGTTATAACCTGTGATCTGCATTCTCCTGGTTAAGTGTTGAAGGAAAAGAACTTCCTAAGCTTGCATATGAGATACCCTGAAACTGAGGTTGGCTTAACTTTAAGCATTGGCTTGTTCCGTATTAATAGCTCCGAATATATTTGAAAAGTATTACTCCAGCGCATCCTAACGGAATTCCGGTGTACACCCATGGCACCACATTTGGATCCAGTCTCCGATCCGTGCTTATTAGCTGTCAGTGAGTATGCTTTAACGCCGGTACTGTCGATGGAGCCGAAGTAAAACAACAGAATTTAAGCACTCATCGGTATCTCAGGTTTCTCCTGTCAACTATAATGCGACCAACTACGGGACTGATGGATAGCAAATTTTGTTGATCAGCGCACCCAAGTTATCCTAAACTACTCTTTCAAGCAGTAATTGTGAGGCGGTGGTTATTTTCCTAGACCTCTGCATGTATTCCACCAGCCTGTCCACTCAAGTGTGTGATACAAAAATTTACTGTCATAAGTATTGTCTAGGTGAGATAGCCGGAGTCAAGGCAACATCTCGGTGTCTGGCACAAATACCACGATTTTCGATCCTGCCTCCATTCTGTCTCTTCCATAGTGATACCCCTTGTACCAAAAACAGCTGCAACTCCGAGAGTTACGATACCCCGGAAATCACTATGTTGATTTATACACCGTGACTGCGGAGTAGTTCCTCGAAAGGTTACATTCGCGCTTCCGCGCTTCATGTGACCATGCGTTAATGTGGAATAATGGTAAGTGAGCTGTCATTATGTGGACTGGTTTAATTGGCCGTCATCATGAAGATTCAATCTTCATGATGACGGCCTATTGCTTACAACAGTGGCCAAAACTATCCCATTCAATATACTGACCGCTAACTTGCCTTTAATCCACATTAGCACATGGTCAGATGAGGCGTGGAAGTGTGGATGGAACCTTTCACGGGACTACGCCCCACGGAAGCAGGTCTCCAGGAGACGATTCCACGGATTGTCGTATTACTTTGATTGAACTGTTGGCTATGCCTACATTTCTTCCCACGCTCCACTTTCAATATTTTTATTACTTTAAATATTTCAACAACGCAAATCTTCTCTGGAACCTACGTTGTGAAATTCAAACATTTTCTCCGTCATCTCAGTTTGTTGTAGCTGCTGAGCAGACAACGCATGTGGTCTGTGCCGCGCAACCTCGAGGAGTATACAATTTATTTAGTCAGTTATTTATTAACTTGTGCTTTTCGAGCATCTAAACCCATTTGATCCACTGTTGGCAATCACCCACAGTCTCTTCTGTGTCCTTGAACGTGACGTCTGTCACAGGTTTTGATGCACTGGTATGTTGCACGTTGCGGCAAGCTCGCTGGTTTGCCTCGCCGACTGGTGAAGAACAATACGCGATCGATTTCACACGATCAATAATGACCTGATCACAGCCGCGGTTTGTGCGCTTATGGCGTTGACGTGGGCCAACGAAAGAGTTTCCATACATTTTGTGGGTGTTTGCACAAGTGTTAAAAGAGGCGCGTCAATTCGTTTCCTGTGCGCGGTTGGATGGTGGGCGCAGTGTCTGATTCCGACCAGACGGTGATTCGACGATCGGGCAGCGAACGGGACTAGATGATACAGTCCGAAGACAAGTTTGTGGACACCAACATGCCAGAAGTACTTTTGCAGAAGCTTAATGAATTGCGCATGTGAGTTTGCTTACGCTGGTATCGTGTTTTTAGCACGTTTTGCCGGTACATTTGGGGTTTATGGAGGACAGCTACCATCATCCATTGTAAGTATGGGAAAAACACAAAGATGCCTACATTCATCCGTAAGCATACTACTTTAAACTGGACGCTCTGTAACTCAAACGTGGCAGAGTGTATTTTTGAAGCAGAATCTCTGGCAGTTTACTATATATATATATATATATATATATATATATATATATATATATATATATATTCACAAGTCTGTAAACAGGCAGTGTACCATCTGAATCATAACGAAAGGGAAAACAATGAGCGTACGAAACAAGAAAGAAAAAATCCAGCCTTTTATGGGGGAGGTTGAGTTTTGTGTTTTATATTCTGGGGAGTAATCAACACAAGACAGCACAACAACACTGGCGCCTCTGAGGTCTGTTGCATGCTATCACATCCAGCGTTTGCAACCATAGAAATTCAGAGTCACCTTGTCCCCAACCTGGGAGGCGCGCTAATCTGCCCGATGTTAAGCTTGAAGCTGCTTTCTTCATGCTATTTCCACGTCATTGGCTGTGCACAATGACACTTTTCCAATCGCTTCCGGTAAGCGCAAATAACGCTCGCCGCGGAAGGCGATAGGCTGGCATCCGTCGTACTTGACGGAGTCAACGTATGGGGTGTCGAAGAACAGCATTTTGAAGACTGGGACTGTTCGCTGCAAGCACACATGTGCTATCCTTCGCAGGCAACGGTAGTCCAAATCTGACAGTCGTCTAATGTCTTTCGAGCGAACAGGTGAGGTGTCACAGCGTACAGCAGGACGGTACGGAAGGACGTGTTGTACACCCTGCCCTAGAGCTTGAGGCTGACGTCACGGAGATTTTCAAGACACATTGTTGTCAGGTTAATGCATTCGGATTTGTGCAAACGGTAGGGGCTATTTCAAACCCTCCTATTGATCGTAAGTGTTGTTCACCTCAATCAACGCTGTAAACCTGTTGTTCCAAACCGCACTGGCTTTCGTTATATATATATATATATATATATATATATATATATATATATATTGCGTTAGTGCCTTTACATATTTAAGCGGCAAGGAATCAGCGCAAAGGTGAAATGGTTGAAGAGGACCAAGTGGCAAGGCCCACTGCGTATTATGATATATCGTTATGACTACTTTATCGAAACAGCGGAGCACACAGCTGCTTCTGTCAACGGTTGGGTAAAATTACTTTCATGGCAAGTATTGTACTGGTTAGAAGTTTTTGAAACAGTTTAAAAGTCTTCGAAGGCTGGGTGTTTGACTCTGAGTTGTGAGTATAGGCTCGCTAACCCATGATCTCTTTGGACTTATGGCAGTTATTACAACCTATGACAAAGCGAACGAGCGCATTCCTGACGCATTCTCGCTAGTTCGCCCGTAATATTGCAAGTTTCACCATCAGGCCTGATACCTTGGTGCCATGCTTCAATTTGATTTCCTTTTATCACAAGTTGCCCAAGGGAGAGACAGACAGCAAGACGTTGACTAGATGACGACACCACTCTGAGTAATCGAAGGAAGCTGACCGTTGATCATATAGTCGCGGGTAAGACAATATCTCTTCAGCAATATGTCTTAACATGTCACACGTCGTTTTTCAGTCAGAGTTGTACAGTCAGAAACGAAGTTTTCCCATGGGTTCGTAATATTCCTTGTACTGACGAACTTGTATATGGAAGACTTCGAGAACATGGTGTTAATAAACAACACTAGCTCACCGAATGTTTGGTGACGCTACACACAGGACAGATTTGTACTTGTTAAACTGGATAAGAAGGATGGGTTGCTCAGCCATTTAGACTTCATTGACGACAGGATGTATTTTACTACTGAGTTAGTTTTCTAGCGGCAGAACACCAGTTCTACATTACCGAATTCTAAGGAATGTGATGTATTTAAAACACAGCCATATATTGCAAGGCGAAAGCCACTGGTGTGAAAACTGCTAGATTTCGCGTCAACCGAATTCCATTTACTCTGGGATAGCTTCAAGGTTGTACTACAGAGCACAAACTCTGTGCACGAGGGAGGAGGACAAAAACGTTGCACGGGAAAAGGAAATGTGTAAACCATTCGACAGTGGTTACTCATGGCAGTTTGTCAAGCGCCAGTTAGATAAAGTGTTAAACCAACAGTCAAGACCTAGGACAGAGTGAACAGAGACGGCAGGAATTCCACACAATAAATGAATCTAGGAAACAATTCGGACGGCATTAAACAAGCAACATATAAAAGTGGTCTTCCGGCGGGACCAAACACTGCGTTCAAAGATGGTGCCCTCGAACGATGTCTTTTCCAAGGATAGAATTAATAACTGCGGCTATAAAATTAACTGTAAAGACCGTGCATGAGCCAAACTCTGTGAGAGAGAGAGAGAGGGAGATACGCATACGAATTTCAAAGTATGTAAGGTGCATTTTACGACCAAATACTGTCAACAATGAACAATGAATTTGTGTGGGTTACGGATCACAGCTTTACTAGTCCCGTTGGGTGGTTTGGTTGTGTTAGCGAAAAAATAAGCAAACAGTTATTACCGTAAGTATGAAAAGAAGGACTTATCGTTTGTTCCGCTGTGATCCTGAAATCCGCGTAATTTCACGGCATTCACAGGCATCAGTAAATAAATCCAAGGTATATTCCAGGAGTAGGATGGATACGTAAGGGCTAAGTGACAAAGTGTAAGTGGATGAGTGCGTCATCCAACCGTCTTTTAAATACTGTTAGTGTGTGTGCAGAGACGACCGATACTGAGAGAGCATTCCATGGGTGACATAAACGAATGGAAAGGAATTTTATGGGTCAATCCAGACGGCTGTACTGTTCTACGAGTTTCAGTAAGTGACCTCTCAGGTTTTGTATTGTTGTTGAGTTGCAGTAAGGAGCAGCACATACGATGTGGATCCTGTGGAATCAAGTAAGCCATTATCAGGTCGTCGCGTACTCGGCGATACCTTCCGCTAAAAACCCCCCAAACGTTTCAGCCTTTGCCCTTATGGGTGATTTCGCGTTCCAATGACGTAGCTGGAAGCTCGACATTAAGGCGGCTGCAGAGCACTGAGGGCCTGTTTAAGCTATGGCTGCCAGGCCTGAGGTGCGTTATCGACGTGTGGCGAACATGCACACTGAGTAGTTGTCGAAAAATAGAGATGTATATTTGTCTGAAGGCCCGTCGCAACAGTCCGATGTGTTGGTTTCCAGCCCTCGAGGCCTTTTCGGATTGCTTGGAGCAACCCAAGTCATCTTAAACCAGCACACCCAGATCACGTTCGACCGAGATTTGAATACCGGTCACTATTAAGCAACTCGGCCGTGACCGTTCATGCCTTAGACACGGATCACCAAATCGACTTGGAAGGTTGAAGTGTTGATTTCCGGTTCTCGTCGCCTTCTCTGCTTGTTTTGAACACCCGAGATCTTCCTGGACCAATACACCCAGGTCATGCTCCTGCTAAACCTTCACCAAGGTGTGGCCTCCAATCTTGTAAGTGCTCACCGGCTGGTGACGCAGATGCATCACTTTGCACTTAGCCATGTTCAATTGAAAGTTGTTCCTCTTTGACCATTCGTAAATGCAATCTAGGTCATGTTGGAGCAGATCCTGATCTGGCTTGTTACCAATCGGCCGCCATATCTTGACGTCATCGGCGAAAAGCAGGAGGTTTGAGGAGATGACTCTTGCCAGGTCGTTGATAAACAAAAGGAATAAACGTGGTCCTAGCACTGAGCCTTGTGGGACACCACATTCCACCTCAATTGGGTTAGAAAGTGATCCCCTAACACGCAATTGAAGATTTCGTTGGTAAAGGAAGTTGCCAATCCAACCAAGCACAGGATCTCCGATTGCGTAACTTTGTAGTCTTTGAAGTAAGATACGGTGATCAAGGCGGTCGAAAGCTTTGGAGAAGTCCAGATAGATGACGTCAAATCCGACCCCATCATCGACCACTTCCGTCCAACTACATCGTGCAATCAGTAGGTTGGTGGTGCATGACCGGTGTTGACGGAAGCCATGCTGTTCCGGTACCAAAATGTTGCATTTTTCCAGGTAGTCCATTAAAGCCTCAGCGACGACTGCTTCCATGACCTTCGCGAGCACAGGGAAGAGAGTCACTGGACGATAGTTTGCAGGATCTGAACGGCTACCGCCTTTAAAAATAGGGGTGATAATGCCACACTTCCACATAGTGGGGACTTGTTGTTCATCAAAGCACCTTTGAAGGAACTGTGACAGGGGTTCAGCTAGCTTGGTGGCCGTAGCCTTCAGTGCCTTCGGGCGGATGTTGTCTGCTCCTGGAGAACTATGCTCACGCAGTGAGAGTAACTTCCTTAGCACAATTGATGGGTTGAAAATAACATTTGTAAACAAAGGTGTTGGTAATGTGCTTGAAATTATGGGACAGGTAGATGTTGCGTGTTCGAAAATTGGGGCGTATTGCAGCCGCAGGCATTAGCTGCTTCTTCGGCGCTTTGTACTCTACCGCTTGTCGTGAATAGTGGGGGGATTCCGTGCTTCACTTTACGAAGCCTATTGACATGCCTATATAGCAGTTTGTTATTTGCCATGAACTTTTTGGCTAGGCTCTGTTGATAAGTTACTTTGTCCTCACGGACAAGTAGAGTGCAATGGTTGCGATGGGTCAGGAAATTTCCCCAAGTCTCTGAGTCGGGGTCAATATTGTAGGCACGCCATGCTGCATCCCTTAGCGCCAAGCATTTTCAAGTCCTACTCCTTAGAATTGAAAGCATTTTTGCGGGACGAAGGGGTTTGGTCTCTGATGCTTTGTTGACTATGTCGCTGAGTTTATTATCGAACTCTGCCCAAACATTGTCAAGGGGACTTTCGTTTGAGAATTACCAAGCAGCTGCGTCGGCGAGTTCTTTTAATACGTGGTAGCGTGTGATTGTATGAGTTAGTTTCGAGTGTTCAGATGGATACTCTGCAAAACACACA